GCCGCCATCCCGGGGCCTCCCTTCAGGGCAAGGAAGAGTGTGCGTAACGGTAAGGGCACGAGAAAAGGAAGGGTGGCTGCCACCCGCGGTTTGAGGGCAGCAGTAGCCCCCCCGCCCACAGGCTCCCCAGAGCCTTGGGGGGACGACTACTACTACTACTACTACTACTACTACTACTACTACTACTACTACTACTACTACTACTACTACTACTACTACTACTACTACTACTACTACTACTACTACTACTACTACTACTACTACTACTACTACTACTACTACTACTACTACTACTACTACTACTACTACTACTACTACTACTACTACTACTACTACACTACACTACTACTACTACTACTACTACTACTACTTACTACTACTACACTACTTACTACTACTACTACTACTACTACTACTACTACTACTACTACTACTACTACTACTACTACTACTACTACTACTACTACTACTACTACTACTACTACGACTACTACTACTACTACTACTACACTACTACTACTACTACTACTACTACTACTACTACTACTACTACTACTACTACTACTACTACTACTACTACTGTACTACTACTACTACTACTACTACTAACGACCACGACGACGACGACCGACGACGACGACGACGACACGACGACGACGACGACGACGACGACGACTACTCCTACTACTACTATAAATACTACGACTACCATACTGACTTACCTACTACTTGACATTACTACGTTACTATACTACCGCTACTACTACTAAATACATAATACCGTACTACCTACTACTAATACTAATACTACTACTACCACTTACTACCACTAATGAATACTACTACAACAATACTAATACAGACTACTACTACTACTACTACTACGTCTACTATATTACTACTACTATACTACTACTACTACTACTACTACTACTACTACTACTACGACTACTACTACTACTACTACTACTACTACTACTACTACTACTACTACTACTACTACTACTACTACTACTACTACTACTACTACTACTACTACTACTACTACTACTACTACTACTACTACTACTACTACTACTACTACTACTACTACTACTCTGATTTTTCCGATTAATATGCGCATTATCAGTATTGCAATTATTCGCAGCATGATTAGTTATAGTAGTAGTAGTAGTAGTAGTCGTCGTCGTCGTCGTCGTCGTCGTAATAGTAATGCGATCAATATTAACCCAAAAACATAAGCATACGTATTAGCATCATCGCCGTCAGCACCGTCATCATCATCAGCAGCATCATGATAATCATTGACATAAGTATTACGACGATTACGAATACTGTTACTATTACTCGTACGATTAGTACTATGAGTAATATTAGCACTAGTAAGACTATTAGCATCATTCGTATGATGAGTATGCATATTACGAGTGGCAGTCGTACGAAAACGAGTACGATCAGTAATCATTTTAGTACGTTTACCTTTCTTGTATTGGTACGAGTATTAGTAACCGTAGTAGTTTAGTTATTGTCTGATTATTCTCATGATTCGGATGCGTCTTACTTTTTGATAGTAATCGTATCAATATTATGTTTAGTGCTGCGATCATTATGAGTGCAACTGTCGCCTTCTTATTAGCATTAGTAAGATTAGTAGTAATCGTGGTAGCAGCACTATACTCCCATTATTAGTAATATTTAGGTTCGGCATCGTCTTTGTCTTCGGCTTATGATTTTATCCTTTTTCCTCCTCCTCCCCCTCCTCCTCCGCCTCATCCTCCTCTCCTCCACATCCGCCTCCGCCTCCTCCTCCTCTTCCTCCTCCGCCTATTCCTCCTCGTCCTCCTCCCTCTTCCCTCCCCCTACCCCTCCCCTCCTCCTCCGCCGATTCATCCTCCATCCTCCACTCTTGGGGTACGACGCCCTACCCAGCCCCTGATTCCACGGCATGCCCCTCGGAACAGCCACCCCTGGTGCGCAGGGCACCCATGGTGGACCAGAAAACGAACAACACAACCCTACCTGCGGCCCCACGAGGCTTAGGGTACATCCGAAGATCTGGCGCGAACTTTTGCGTGGTATACGCTGCGGCGCCCCACGGGCCGCAGCGCAAAATGGAGGGCCGTGGGTGGGGTGGTGTCGTTTGTTGTTTGGCCAGCACGGGGCAAGGGCGCCGCCCCTGCAGATGCGCGAGGCCCCCAAATTTGGGAGGCCGCCCCCCCCCCCCCCTGGCGAGGCGAGGCAAGCATGGGTGGCGCGGAGGAGGGGGGAGATGGGAGAGAGACCCGCGGGCAAAAAACCGCCCGAGAGGCGCGGCAGAGAATCTGGCGGGCAGTGCCGTTGGGAGGCCAAGGTCCTCCCGCGGCACGCCCCCAGGCGCGCCGCAGTGAAACAACCAGCCGAGGTCGGGCTGGAAGACCGTGGAGGGCGAGAGCACACACACACACACACACACACACACACACACGCACGCACACACACACACACACACACACACACACACACACACACACACACACACACACACACACACACGCACTTCTGGCGTCGCGGCCCCGCGCGCAGCGACAGGGCGTCCAAAGTCAGGGAAGAGAACGCGCGCGCGCGTCTAGAGGCCGAGCCCTCGAGACGCTCAGAACTAGCAGCGCCGCGGCCAGCCATGGGTCATGCGGGCATGGATCACGAGGGGGTCAGACGAGGTGAGCAGGTAGCCGACCCGCACGGAAACGACATGCCAGGAGGGGGGAGGGAGGAGGGGGGAGGGAGGAGGGAGGAGGGAGGAGGGAGGAGGGAGGGAGGAGGGAGGAGGGAGGGCCCCGTCGTGACCTCCAGGGGAGGCACGGTGGAAATTACAGTGATGCCATGGCCAGACGACTGGCAGAAAGGCGGGACAGGGCACAAGCAGGCCGGAGGCCAGCAGCGGCGGCGTGGGCACCACAAAGGTTACACACATGCATGCATGCATACACACATACAAACAATCAATCAACAAAACAAACAAACAAACAAACAAACAAACAGACAGACAGACAGACAGGCAGACAAACAGACAGACAAACAACCAAACCTATAAACATACCTGCATACAAACAAACGCATGCATACATACGTATGTGCATACATACCTGTCTACCTACAACATGCACGCGTACATACGTGCATACGTACGTGCGTACGTACAAGCATGCATCCCTACATGCAGGCATGCATACATGCATGGATACAGACATACAGATACGCAACTATAGCATACATGCATACATGAATACATACATATACACATACACACATACACACATACAAACATCCACACGTACACACATTCAAACATACATACATACATACATGCATGCATGCATACATACATACATGCACACGCATACATAAATGCATACATACATGCAAACACCTACAGTCACCCATTCATTCATACATACATATGTACATACATACATACATACATACATACCTACCTACCTACCTACATACATACATACATACATACATACATACATACATGCATACATACATTACATACATACATACATACATTACATTACATACATGCATGCATACATACATACATACATGCATACATACATGCATGCATACACCTATACACATGCATGCATACATGCATGCATACATACAGGTTTACCGACCTACATACCTAAGCACATGCATGCATACTTACATACGTACGTAGATACACAGGGACACATATATATAGACCTACCTATACACATACATACATACATGCATGCATACATGCATACACATACATACATACATACATACATACATACATGTATGCATACATGTAAATATATGTAATGTATAGAGGGATACATACATACATACGCACATGCATGCATACATACATTCATACAGACAGACACAGACAGACAGATAGACAGACACACATACACACATACACACATACACACATACAAACGTACACACATACACACATAAACACATATACACACGCACGCACACGTACACATACACATACAGAAAATCAATAAACCAAACAAACATATACCCACATGCATACATACATACAGACAGATTCACAGACAGACAGACATAATACATACATACATACATGCATGCATACATACATGCGGACAGACAGGCATACAGGCATACAGACATATAGACATACAGAAAGACAGACAGACAGACAGACAGACAGACAGACATACGTACACACACACGCACGCACACACACACACACACACACACACACACACACACACACACGCACACACACACACACACACACGCACACACACGCACACACGCACACACACACACACACACACACACACACACACGGCGCCAGCCTGGTCGAGGAAGGCGGCCGCGCGGATGCCGGGCTCGACGCGGCACGCGTTTGCCGGCTTCGGCCGTGAAGGGCTCTTAGCGACTCCTGATGTGCCTCGCCTCGCGCCGGAGCTTCAACAGCGTGTTCTAGATTGTCTGGACGTGTCTGGTTGAACCTCGAACTGTGAGGAATTACATCGACGTGCGTAGATGTATATCTCGGTGTGTCCAGCTTGATCTCCGCAGGAAGATCGGAGAGGAGTCGGCAAGCCCCTCGGGATCCGGCCGCAGGCGCCTCCCCCTCGTCCTCGACTCATCCCTGCTGCCTATCCCTCCTCCGTCCTCCTCCATCATCCACCCCATCTTTCTGCTCTCCCCTCCGTCATTCCTCCTCTCTTCTTCCGCCTCCCCACATCTTCCGTTACAGGTTCCCTTCTCCCTCATCCTCCATCATCCTGCCCCCCCCCGGTCCCATATCACCCTTCCTCGCCTTACCTTCTCCCACTCCCTCAGCCTCCTCCTCAACATCCTTCTCCTTCTGGTGGTCCTCCTGATTTTCCTCCTCCTCCTCCTCATCCTCCTCCTCCTCTTCCTTCTCATCCGCCTCCCCGACGTACAAATCCCCAAACTCATGTGCCAACACAGAACGCGGGGCACGGTGTCTGCAAGGAAGCCTTGTGTCCGGCAGGTCGTTGCCCAGAGCAGGACGAAGGAGTACCTTCCCCGGGCCAGCGGGAAAGATCAGGCGAGGGCAGGGGCGGGCAAGGAGAAAGGAGGGGCGGGCCAGGGGGGAGGGGGACGGGGATCGTTGACGCGCTAAGATAAGGTTATGTATGTCTGCGTGGGAGCAAGTCTGCTGGTTGGCAGGCGTGGATTATCCCGACTGTTGCAAGGTAAACCTCGACTTCACCGTCGGCATTCTATTTAACAGCTCTTACACATCAATCGTCTGTTGCTCTCTACATCTGTCGCTGCCTGGCTTCCCTTGTCTTGGACTTGGCCCCAGTCTTCTATTTGGCGCCCCCGGACCCTGGCTCGAAAGACTGCGTTGAGCTGGCAACGAGAGAAGGGCAGGAAAAATGGAAAAAGGAATCTACGAGAAAGAAGGAGGAAGGAGAGGAGTTAGGAGGGAAGAGGAGGAAGAGAAAATAGGAGGGAAGAGGAGACACGGGCCATGCAGCAAGAAGAGGTGTGAAGGACAAAAAAATCGAACCGACGGAAGGACCAAGGAGAAACGATGCGGGAGAGATGAGAGAGGTCGGTGGGGACAGGTGGGTTCGCAAAACATGGATTCAAAGGCGTGGAGCGGGAGGGATGGGCGGGAGAGAACAATGGGGGGAGAGTGGAGGGGGAGACAGGGCTTCGTTCTTTCTTGACGTGCTGGCTTGCCGTTGAATTGGCCAACCGGCCATAGATGTGCACCAATTACTAATTAATTACTTATTGAGCTTTCTTCAAGCTGCCCTCAGGTTCCAGGTGTACCCTGTCACGGTGCTGTCAGTGTGGAGGACGGGCCCAGGTAGGGATCACGCTGGGCGCGCTTGTGATGCTTGTGGCTCAGCTGAAGGTCCCCAAGACGGTACGGATACACTTCCAAACTGGAGGACGTTACATGCCAGGCGGTTGAAATGTCCCATCCTGCTCCCCATGATTATCCTCCACCTCCTGGTGTCTCCTGGCCTCCTCTTACGTAC